TTCTTTCTCTCTCTCTCTCTCTCTTTCCCTCTCCCTCCCACTCTCTCTTAAAAAAAATAAAAAAATTAAAAATAAAAAAATTTAAAAATGTGGGGGGACCTATAAATAGATGACAAGCTTTGAATGGCAGGTGCTATGGAACACCGCTCTGCAGTTAAAAAATGAAATAGGATTATGTGTTAATCTGGAAAACAGCCTAAAATGTACTTTTATTTAACTATTATTAAAAGTGGCTGGGGGCTAGGATTGTGGCTCAGCAGTGGAGTGCTCGCCTAGCATGGGCAGGACCCAGTTTTGATCCTCAGCACCACATAAAAATGAAAGCATTGTGTTGTGTCCATCTACACCTAAAAAATAAAATAAAAATTATTAAAAAAAAAAAAAAAAAAAGGTGGCTGGGCGCAGTGGTGCACACCTGTAATCCCAGTGGCTTGGGAGGCTGAGGTACGAAGATCAGAAGTTCAAAGCCAGACTCAGAAACTTAGTGAGGCCCTGAGCATTCAGCAAGACCCTGTCTCAAAATTATAAAAAGGGCTTGGGATGTAGCTCAATGGTCAAGCGCCCCTGGGTTCAATCCCTTGTACATAAAAAAAAGTTACCATATTTGAGGAAATAAGAGAAATAATTTCAGATATAAAGTAAGTACAGATAGGGACTAGGGTTGTGGTTCAGTGGTAGAGCGCTTGCCTTGCACGTGTAAGGCACTGGGTTCGATCCTAAGTACCACATAAAAATAAATAAATAAAGGTATTTTGTCCATCTACAACTAAAAAAATATTTTTTAAAAAAATATGGTACAGAGAGCACATGATGAATTGTTAAATACATGTATTAACAAAAGAAGCTGTCACATAAGAAGCTGGGGTTGTGGCTCAGTGGTAGAGCACTTGCCTAGCATGTGTGAGGCACTGGGTTCAATCTTCAACACCATATAAAAATAAACAAATACAATAAAGGTATTGTGTCCATCTACAAATGAAAAAAAAATTTAAAAATGTAATATAAAAGTTTTTAGAGAGATGAGGTCTAGGTAAGGTGAATGGTGTCTGAAATAGACTCTTCATAAATTACTGATACATCCGGATTTTTCAGTAAGTAGGATTTGAATAGACTGAGAAAAGTTGATGGGCACTTACTTGTTAATTTTAAAAACACAAACCAATATATTAGGCCATGTGCGTGCGGGGGGACAACCCTTACAGATAAAGACTATAACTTGTCAGTTAAATTTCAGTTTGAGGGCTGGGGTTGTGGCTCAGTGGTASAGCACTTGCCCAGCACGTGTGGGGTACTGGATTTGATTCTCAGCATTACATAAATAAATAAAATAAAGGTCCATCAACAACTAAAAACATACATATAAAAAATTTTTTCAGTTTGGTTTGGGGTTGTGGCTCAGTGTTATTGTGCTCACCTAGCACATGTAAAGCACTGGGTTCGATTCTCAGCACCACATAAAACATAATAAAATAAAGGTGTTGTGTCCCTCCTACAGCTTAAAAAAAATTTTTTTTGTTTTTTTAAATTTCAGTTTAAAGCCAGGCGTGGAGGCACACACCTGAAATCTAACAGCTCAACAAGTTATGTGACTTGCCCATGGTAACGTTCCAGTTGGTGGCAGACTGGACTAAAACCCTAGTCTTAATTACCAAATCACCAAGCAAACCTGGTATAGGATCAGATAGAGTAAATACTTTTAGTCTAGAGACAGACCAGTAAATGGCAAATTACCTGCTTACCTGTTTGGATCCCTGTTTCTTGCTCTAACTGATGGTAGAGTCTGTTTGAATAGTCTGCCATCTTCTGCTCAATGGTCAACTGCCTGGCAGTGCTCAGGATGCCAGCACAGAACCTGGTGGAGCCAGCAGCCAACCTGCAAGACGGATGCAAAATGCTATTAGGTAGACTCACATATCGGAGTATGTTCGAGAACCCTCATTATAATATTGTTTGTAATATCAAAAAATGCAAATACGGTTTAAAATTTTGGAGATCACCAAATCTATCTGGGGTGGGAGTTCCATCTCTCCCAAGATAGAACTCCCTGAGTTCTGATAGTTGCTCTCGCCTTAAGGAGAATGTCAGAAATATAATTTTAAGAATAAGGGATGGGCTGGTGGCTCAGCACAGCACTTGCCTAGCATGTCTTTTTTTCTCAGCACCACATATAAACAAGTGAATAAAATAAAGATCCATCAACAACAAAAATATCTACAATTAAAAAAAAGAGTGGACTGGGACTGTGGTTCAGCAGTAGAGTGCATGCCTAGCATGTGAGAGTCCCTGGGTTCAATCCTCAGCACCACATATAAATAAATAAAAATAAAGGCATTGTGTCCATCTACAAYTACAAAAAGAATGAAAAGGTTTTTTTTTTAATATATTTTTTATGTGGTGCTAAGGATCAAATCCAGCACCTCACATGTGCTAGGCAAGCACTCTAAACTGATATGTGTATGCATTTAAGCAAATAAGTAAATGAGGTAGAGGAAAAACTTTCCGACAGTAGAATGCCAACTAAAAGAAGAAGGATGAGGAAAGAAACCTCACCATTTGGCAAGCATCATGGTGGTAGGTGCAGTCAACTGCCAATGGAAGTTAAGCCTGATAAGTGGAGGTATGACATTAAGATATTGGCAAAATCTCAGAATCCATCTCCCCAAAGGTTGCTAGCCCATTATAAGAGGGCAGAAGGGGCAGGGCACATTTGTAATCCCAGCTATTCAAAGTTCAAAGCTAGCCTAGGCCATTTTGTGAGATTATCTCAAAAACTGGAAGGAGGGGGAGGTGAGGATGTAGCTCCATGGTAAGAGTGCTTGCCTAGTCTGATTCAATCTCCAACGCCAAAAAAAAAAAAAAAAAAGTGGCTCCCACAGAGATACTCAGAGGACACTAACAAAACTGGGTGATCAGGATTATTCCCACCAGTAGTACATGCCAGCCATGCACTTCCTGGTGTGGTACACTGCAAAAAGCCTAGCACCATTTCTTTGGTCTTCCTGCCTAAAATTTTTGGTCTCATTGTAGTGACAGACGTACAACTCTGTGAACAGACTAACAGCCAATGACCTATGCACCTGACAAGGATGACTGGTATGGAATGCAATACACTGTTGTTGAAAAACTGTGTGACTCGAGTTTGATCACAAGAAAATATCAGTTGAACCCAAACTGAGAATTATCCCACAGAGAGAAAGGCCTGTACTCCTTAAAACTGTCAAGGACATGGGAACAGGGAAGGGCTGAAGAACTGTGCCAGCAGAAGAGACATGACAACTGAACACAAGTTCCTGGAGAGAATACTGGACCAGAAAGGACAGAGAGACTTTATTGGAATGGTTGGCAAAATCTGAGTGAGGCTGATGAATCTGATAGTAGTGTTGTATTCATATTTTCCTGATATTCAGGTATGATGGTTATGTAGGAGGTTGCACTTGTTTTTTGAGGAAAAAAACACCCTGAAATGCTTAGAGGTGCTGGGTTATCAGGTCTGCAACTTATGCTGTGATAGTTATAAAAAAGGGAATATATACACACACTCTCTCCTCTCTCTTTCTCTCTCATGGCTATGTGTATACCCATCTACAAAGAACAGAGCAGGTGATACAACGGGTACATTAGAATGTTGACAATGGGGGAACTTTGGTAAAAAAGATATGGATATTCTCTGTACTGTTCTTGAAGCTTTTTAGTGAATTAAGTTATTTCAAAATAAATTTGCTAGAAAAATATTATTAATGCAAATATGCCAATTATTACAGAATTTATAAAATATATAGAATTAAAATATACAATAACACAAAGGGCAAAAGGAGGTAAACAATTATACTGTTATGTCCAACAATACTCAAGTAGTGGTATAGTAGTACTTCATAATGGACAAATAAATTAAGAATACATAGGGCTGTAATGTTTCTCTGTTGAAACTAAGAATTTTATGATTAAAAAATGCTACTAGGGCTGGGACTGTGGCTCAACGGTAAATCGCTTGCCTCACACGGGCGGGACCCGGGTTCGATCCTCAGCACCACATAAAAATAAAGGCATTGTGTTGTGTCCATCTACACCTAAAAAATAAATATTTTTTTAAAAATGCTACTAAAAACAAAACAAAAAACAGAATACATGGGGCTGTGGGTGTAGATCAGTGGTATAGCACTTGCCTACCATGCAGAAGGCCCTGTGTTAAATCACCAACACCACAAAAGGAGGAAAAAAGAATACATATTCTGATCTCTATAATCATTAAAAAAATAATACAGGGCTGGGGATGTGGCCCAAGCGGTAGCACGCTGGCCTGGCATGCGTGCGGCCCAGGTTCGATCCTCAGCACCACATACAAACAAAGATGTTGTGTCCGCCAATAACTAAAAAAAATAAATATTAAAAAATTCTCTCTCTCTCTCACTCTCTCTCTAAAAAAAAAATAATAATAATACAAAGGCAGGAGGGTCACAAGTTCAATAGCAGCCTGGTCAATATAGTGATATCTGTCAATAACAATAACTGATGATGATGATGATACAGAGTAGCTTAAAAGTCCACAAAGATAGGGGCTGGGGTTGTGGCTCAGTGGTAAAGCACTTAACAGGTATGTATGAGGCACTGGCTTCAATTCTCGGCACCACAAAAAAATAAAGGTCCATTGACAACTAAAAAACTATTGAAAAAAAAAGTCCACAGAGATAAAATAGAATACTAAAAATATGTGATTCATCTAAAGGAAGGCAAAAACTGAAAAAGAGGCAAAGCCCATAAAGAAAGCATATTTCTTTTGGGGGAAGAAAGCAATAAAAATCTAGCTAAAAGATAACTGTTTACCTAATGTAATTTACACTATTTTACAAGCACAAATTTTTGTTGAAGTCTAAAATGTTACAGAAAACTCAAAACTGTCAAGGTCACCAAAAACAAGGAAAGTCCAAGAAACTGTCACAGCTCTTAGGAGTCTGAGAAGACATATGATGACTGGGAGAAATGGATCCTTGGTGGGATCCTAGAATAGAAAAAGGATATTAGGAGAAAAGTGAACAAAAATAAATAAAGAATGAGCTTTTGTTAATACTAATGCATGAGTTCTGATTCGGTAATTGTAATAACGTAAGATGTTAGGTGAAAGTGGATGTAGGGAGGATGGGGTTATAGCTCAGTGGTAGAGGGTTTGCCTAGCTTGTGTGAGACTGAGTTCAACTCTCAGCACCACACACAAATAAATCAATTAAAAGTCCATTGACAACTAAAAATATTAAAAATAATAAATAAATTTAAAAATTAAGGGCTGGGGTTGTGGCTCAGCAGTAGAGTGCTCGTCTCGAATGCATGGGACCCTGGGTTTGATCCTCAGCACCATGTAAAAAATAAATGAGTGAAATAAAGGCATTGTGTCCAACTATAAAATAAATATTTTTTTAAAAAAATTAAAAATAATAAAAGAAAGTGCATAGGGTATATGGGAATTTTATAATAACCCTCAGTTTTTCTGTACATTTAAAGCTGTTCAAAAGTAAGCTAATTAGGACTGGGGCTCAGTGGTAGAGCATTTGCCTATCATGTGTAAAGCACTGGGTTCAATTCTTAGCACCACATAAAAATAAATAAATAAGGGTATTGTGTCCATCTATGATTTTTTTAAACATTTATTTTCCAGTTGTAGTTGAATACAATACCTTTATTTTAATTTATTTACTTATTTTATGTGGTGCTGAGGATCAAACCCAGGGCCTCACACATTCGAGGCGAGTGCTCTATTGCTGAGCACAACCCCAGCCTGTGTCCATCTGTAATTAAAAATATATATATTGGGGCTGGGGATGTGGCTCAAGCGGTAGCGTGCTCGCCTGGCATGCGTGCAGCCCGGGTTCGATCCTCAGCACCACATACAAACAAGGATGTTGTGTCCGCCGAGAACTAAAAAATAAATATTAAATAAAAAWATATATATATATTAAAAAAATAAGGGCTGGGATGTAGCTCAGTAGCAAAGCATCTGCCTTGCATGATAAAAATAAATAAATAAATAAATGGAAATCAATAATGGAGATATAGGCAGAATGCAATCACTTTTATCTCAGTTCAAAGTCACAGGACTTAAACTACTGGGTGACAACAAAGAGAATGAGATAAAATGTGTTGTAAACACATACATCCTTTTTTTTTTTTTTCTTTTCAGTACTAGGGACTGAGCCCAGGGTGCTCTACCACTGACTACATCCCCAGCCCCTTTTTGTTATTTGTTTGTTTCTGAGACAGTGTCTCAGAACTCCAACTTGCAATCCTTCTGTCTCATACTACCAAGTTAACTGAGATTACAGGTATGCAAGTGTAATCTCTATATAAATCCTTTTAAGATACTTGTTTTGTTGAAATCTACTACCTTTCTAAAAACCCAAACATTAGTATCACTAAACAAAGTGCAGAAGATTTCACCTCAGTTCTTCTCATGACACTGGGCAACATTTGAATTAACTATTGGTGGGACATTACCGTGGAGAAGAGAGGGAATGAGGGAGTCCCTTACCATTAGTACAGCACAGCCACAAGCTAAGTCCCATTTGATCCTTACCTGCCCTGCTCCAAAAGGACAATATCTGTCCACCCCATCTTGGAGAGGTGATAGGCCACAGATGTGCCCATGATTCCACCCCCACAGATGACAACCTGGGCCTGGGCAGGCAGGGTAATAGATTGTGCCTCAGCAGTTGATGTGTTGTTTCTCGCCGAGGACCAGTTCTGCCATCCTGGGCTGGTTCTTCGTCTTCGGGCAATTGATAGCAACCGGTAAAACATTATGTCTGTCACCAACCAGGAACTATGTTCTTGCTAGCTAAGGCAATCCCAGGAATTCAAACTAGACAGAGAGAAGCAAGCATATTTCATTACATTTAACTCAACGCATAGAACAAACAAGAAAATGATTTAACAAAGAATAGTAATAATTCATATGACATATTTGAGGACCTGAGTTTCAGACACTTTGCTAAGTATAGATATAGAAGTGAACAAGAATAAGGAAGTCTCTGCCTTTATAAAAGTTACATTTGAGGGGCTAGGGCTGTGGCTCAGTGGTAGAGAGCTTGCCTAGCAAGTGTGAAGCACTGGGTTCAACCCTCAGCACCACATAAAAATAAAGGTATTGTGTCCATCTACAATTAAAAATATATTTTTTAAAAAAGTTATATTTGAGAGTTTGTGTGAATTAGTGAGAGGCAACCAATATACAAAAAAAAGTAAAAAACGTTAATGTAATAGAGTAATAACTAGGGGCATATTTAAAGTAGGATGGTTAGAAAAGGTCTTCAAGGAAGGTGACATTTGAAAAGAGACCTGACAGATGAGAAGGAACCAACCATATGAGTGTTTACACAGAAAAACAAATATGTATAAAGGTCCTGAGGTGGGGAAGGAAGGGGGTTTGGAGTTATAAATGATGGTAGAATGTGAAGATCATTATTATCCAAAGTACATGTATAAAGACACAAAATTGGTATGAATATATTTTGTATACAACCAGAGATATGAAAAATTGTGCTCTATATGTATAACAAGAATTGTAATGCATTCTGCTGTCATATATTTTAAAAATGAAGTAATTGGGGAAAAAGAAATTTATTGCTGTTTTGTATATATTATCATGAATATCAGTCTACTTTAAGAAATGTAAATAATATTCCTAATTAGAATAAAATACACTCCATGTTTGTATAAAAATTTTATCAAAATGGACTCTACCGTCATGTATAACTAAAAAGAACCAATAAAAAAGTATGCAAATGGGGCTGGGGATGTGGCTCAAGCGGTAGCATGCTCGCCTGGCATGCATGCGGCCCGGGTTCGATCCTCAGCACCACATACAAACAAAGATGTTTTGTCTGCCAAAAACTAAAATAAATAAATAAATATATATATATAAATAAATATATATATTAAAAAAATTCTCTCTTTAAAAAAAGTATGCAAATAAAAAAACAAAAATAATTTTTAAAAAGGTCCTGAGGTAAGACAGACTTTGATGAGACCAATAACAGAAGTCAGCATGTCTGCAGCATGTTAAAAGGAAAATAATCCAGATAAATCTGGAGATAAAGGCAGAAACAACCATCATGAGGAGATAGAATTTTATTCTAAGTGTAAAGAAAACTCACTGAACGAGGGGAGTGGAATAACCTGCTATATTTTTCACAGGTCAGTCTGGCTCCATGCTAGGGTGGATGGTAGAATGAGAAAAGTAGAGAATTAGGAAGCTACTGCAGTAGTCCAAGCCTACGAAGGGTAGCATGGCTTACACTAGATGGTGGCAATCAGAGAAAGTTTCTGAAATGAGAGAACTTCTGTGCTAACGAAGTGAATTTTATCAAAGTTGGAAAAAGGAGTAAAAGGGATGATAGCTAAGATTCTGGGATAATCAACTAGTGCCAGTTAGTGTGAAAGACTAGGAATGAGGAAGGAAGGAAGGAAAGAAGTGAGGAAAGACAGTGAGCGAAAGGGTAGGCATAGGGGAATGGACAACTAAATGTTACTTAGAAATGCCAAGCAACAGCTGGATATATAAGATGGCAATAYGGTAAACAGTTAGGGGTGTCCTTACCCTTAAATACAATGTTTAAAACCCTGTCATTTAGAGAGGAAGGAGAAGAGCACCCGAGGTTCCCCAGTATTTACAGACTGGAACAAGAAGGAAAGGACAAGCGATAAGAACAGAATACTGTGTTGGACTTAAAAAGAGCATCCAGATAAAAAGAGAACTGGCTACAGAGATGGAGAAAGAGTAGTYAGTGCACAGAGAAAAGCCAGGCAGAGGCATGTCACAGATGCCAGGAGAAGAAAGTGTTTCAAGAAGAGGTTAACTGYAGAGGCTGGGGATGTAGCTCAGTGGTACAGCACTTGCCTGGCATGCATGAGGCCCTGGGTTTGACCCCCAATGCCACACACACAAAAAAAGGGGAGGTGAGGTGGTGTTAACGGCAGATGGTGTTGAACAATCAGGCAAGACAACCAYGTGTCCAAAGGGATGCAGAAACATAAAGGCCTTGATGTCCTCAAAAAGGAAACATCTTCAGGGATTAGGGATAAAACAAAATAGAGCAAATTGAAGAGTAGACAAGACAAGGGAGTAGACAACTCCATACATTTTACTCTGAAAGGGAGTAGAAAAATGAGACAGAAGAGAAAAATGTGGGGTAAAGCAAAGTTGTTTGCTTTTTAAAAGATGGGGGATATTAAAAGAATGTTTTCTTCTGGTAGGAATGGCCCAGCAAAAGGGAAAGGGGCCAATATCAAAGAATGGAATCCTTCAGAAGGAAAGAAGAGATGAGCCCCAGAGTCCAAGAGAAGGATAGTAGGCCTCAAGCTTCCACAGGTGGTCTGGTGGAGATTTAAGTATCAGATATCTTTCCCTAGGAAGGAGAGGATTGTCAGTCATGCAGGCTTATCATTTATACACCCAAGTCACAGTTGGTAAGCAAGCAAACATTTCTACAAGACAACAAATATAATAGGTTAGAAAAGGAAAAAGGTAAAGGCTAGCAGCACTAGCAGAAATAGAAACTAGACTAGGAAGGTAAGAGGTGAGCTGAGTCTTGGCCCCGGGGGGGGGGGGGGGGGGGGGGGGGGGGGTTGGGTTATATTTTAGACAGAGACAAAGTGATGGGAAACACAAAAGAGAAAGGATAAAATAAATATGACCATGATATCTGTTTGGGAGGACAGTAAGGACCCTGGCACAAAGCCCAAAAAAATCTATAATGAATGCTGGGAAGTAGGAACTGAAGTAGAGCCAGACCATAGAGACTAATACTTGGTCTGATGTGGTCAGTTATACAATGAGTTACTACAGGCTGAATGTGACAAAGACAGGATTTAATAAAATTTAGCAGCAAAACAGAGGACTGCTTTAAGAAACATAAGACTGATCTACTAGCAGACTATACTAGCATTAAAGTACAAGAAGATTGAGGCTGAAGACACCGGGAGTAGTAAACATGGGCATCAGGGCAGCACATTGACAATAAAGCCACTACCACCTCCACTATCAGCATAATGACCCACAGGTGGCTCCCCATAAGTCCATGCTGTCATCAGAGAGGATTCAGATCTGCAGTCAATGGAGGCACAAASTGCATGGCAAGAGAAACTTCATRCAAGTGGAGACTGATTATCATGGCCACCTTGTGGTTGCCACCATGCCTCACCTTCCTGGTCGTTGGTATCTATAAGCTTCTCCACACAACTAGTCTTTCTATAATCTCATATAAACGTAGCCAATTTCTCTTCATGGCCCACGCCCCCTACAGACTTCTCTACTGTACCCTCCAGACTACCATTCCCACAACAAATACCCACCCTTCCCAAGGGAAATGCAGCCTTCGAACTGTCACGCCACACAACCCTGGGCCACCCACCTAACTGGCTATCCTCCTAAATTCCCAACCATTACCATCTAGTCATGCTCAAAAAGCCCCCACTCCTTCAGACTAAGGCTAGCAAGCACCCCAACAGGTCAAGGCTCCCCCACAGACAGGTTCTGAATCCATAGCATGCTCCTCTATCACTTTCCACCCACCTCCTTTCTTCCCTCCCTCTAAGCAGCCTGTCTCAGCTCCTTCCTGAAATGCCTCCTATGAACCTACCTTTACCTGCAACTCTCTGCTGGTTCACAGTGCATCTCTCCACTAGAGTCCCAGCCACCTCCGCCTTCCTTTTCTGCACCCCAACCCCATCAACTGTCCTCTCTTCACGTACCTGTGTTGTTTCTGTGCCACCTGGCTCCTTCTCAGCATTTTAATATGCTCAAGTCTCTCTCAGGTGATTTAAGACATGAAATAAAAACTCCACAACTTTCTTCAATTAGCTTTTCTTTTTCCCCTTTGTGATACTGGGGATTAAACTCAAGGGCACTCTATAACAAAGCCAAACCTCCATCCCTTTTCATTTTATTTTTTTATGATTTTATTTATTTATTTTCATTACAATTCCTTTTTATTTTTTGAAGACAGGGTCTCACGAGGTTCCTGAGGCTGGCCTCAAATTTTCCATCTTCCTGCCTCATCCTCCCTGAGATTATAGGCATGCATCACTGCACCTGGAGTGATTTAGAATTTTTAAAATTAAAAGTTGCTAATTGAGCTAGATTGAAAGTTCAAGGCCAGCCTTAGCAACTTATTGAGACCCTGTCTCAAACTAAAGAGGGCTGGTGATGTAACTCAATGGTAGATTTCATTCTCTAATACCACAAAAAACAAACAACAAAAAAAAATCCAAATCACAAAATATAGTCTTTGCAAAAACTCAAAAACAGGAAGGAATTAAGATTTCCCACCACACAATGATTCACCAACACTGGTGCTAATGGTATTCTAACACAATTTTTGTTTCTACAGCAATGGCTGCCCTGATGACACTGATACCATATGGATCTTCAGTCTTAATTTACTCATTCCTGAGTACCTGGGCAATCTGCCAGGCAATTTTTAAACAGAAATTCATTCTTGAGCTGGGGATGTAGCTAAGTGGTAGAGTGCTTACCTTGCATGCCAAAGGCCCTGGGTTCAATCCCCAAACCAAACACATATATGCAAAATCCTAGCAACCTGTCATTTTCACTTGACAATAAATTAGTAAACAGAAAGGACTGCATATACTGTTTTATACTTAGATCTCTCCTTAACTTACAGCATTCAGGCATCTGTCCCACCATAATACTGACACTAATCTTGCCAATAACACTCTAGTTGCTGGTTTCCAAGGACATTCTCCTGGCACTATAACACTTGACCTCTCAATAGTAATTAACAGCCGATCATTTCTTCCTACCCACATACAAGGTCCTCTACAACTTTTTTTTTTTT